CGTACGTCAGCTAGTTCGACGAAGGGGCACATCAAACAACATAAAATGCGTTCGCTTGGTAATCTGCCAAACCAATATCTACCGAATTACTGTTGTTCTCTGCATCCCATCCGGAAAAGCACAAGCTACTAGCCAGGTAACATTGGATGAATTTGGAACGATTTATGGAGAGGGATCCCGTTCTAAGCTTTGTTGGGAACATCGTAAAATATATCGGTCAACCGAGGTCAATGTCGTACGCAGTAACATTTAGTGTCCCAGTTTTGAATCCACGCATGAGTACGTGAGCAACTCGGGAAGAGCGCTACAGGCTAACTCCAATCATCTCTTCTTCCAACCATAGGAAGTTAAAAAAAACTCCGACCATGTGTTTGTAGGGTACATCTGCCAACACTGATGATGCTATCTTTGTTTATGATGGTGGGGAGGTTACTAACGACGGAGATGATGATTGCGACGCATCTATACTGACGGTCCCTTCAACATCCAGCTTCGAACATTGCTAATCAATATATCCGGTCAGTAGAGAATCTCTATGCAAAGGGATATTTATTTTCTTGTTATTACTTCCACAATACACCGCCATGTCGATTCCTGGATGGCTAATGCCTACACAGCCATTGTATGTTAGAAAATAAGGTCATGTGCTTCACAGTTTGGTGCCATTGAATCTTGACAGTTCTAAAAGGGATTAATTTAATTACTCGTAACCTGAAGCGGCTAGTTGTGGACAAAATATTCTTAGCGAATTAGATGCAATTGCGTGGGCCAGAAACGTGTAGATTTTCAGATGAATTATTCTTTCGAGAAGCGTTTCCTGCACTGAATCCTCGAAATTTGACACAACAAGAGACTACTGTTTTGGACTTCAATAGCGTGACTGTTGATTTGTTTGCTGAGTTAGATACTTCGGTTACATACGTGTTATTGCCAGTCGATCTGGCACCGTCAGCACATTGCACTACAATTCACAACTGGGGAAAAATGTTGCCTAAAGTAGCGACACAAAGAGCAAAGAAATCAACATAAATTGTTATCATCTGAACTACGAAATTTCCCTTCACTTGCAATTCGACAGTGTGGTTAAATAAATTAGGACTAATGTAAAGAAAGCGTAGTTATAAAGGCCACATGGATCTGGTGCGCTGGTTATCTTTTGTTAATACTCCATCCAAATCCATGCCCTTACAAATTCTTCTGACTGAGGAAGAACCCTGTGGATCCTTGCAGCCCTCCTGCAATTCTCAGGGTTACATTGAATTTGAAGTCAATGTCCACAACAAGCTAGACAAATGCGCCTTGTTATACTTAATCAGGATGTCGCTTCTGTCACGACCATTCATAAATCTGCGCATAAGCAACAGGAATGTCTCATTTTTTTAACCAACTTCAAACACAAACATATAGTACATGATGCGATAATGAAAGGCTAACACCAAAATCACCAAGCCGTCAGTGTTTGTCACATCCAGCAGTTGCATCACAGTAGCTTCAAAATCGTCACCTACGTTTACCGGAAGTTTTATGACCAGTCCCTTATTCCAGTACTTCTGACAGTTATTCTATGGTACATTAAATCGTTTGACCTTAACAGCTCTTGCATAAAATTGGAATATAAATCCACACTTGATCGCAGCTGTTAAAGATGGGAACTGTGAGGATGCATGACACTTTGCTCATGAGAATTCCGCACATACTGGCCCTCACAAATGAGCGCATTTCTCTAACTTCTTGCGATCCAGGTTCAACTAGGACATAGGGTTGATGGAAAGTCGGGTGCTGCGCTTATATGATGAGCACCAAGAAGTGTGAAACCGGTCGTGAGCTGTCGAAGAATTTTGAGAAGCCTTATGATTAATGCACTACGTCCATACATGTGTTGAGATATTTCGAAAATCGTACCAAATGAAACGTCACATTCAGTTACTTAAAATCATCATAAACGACAGATTCGTCTGGGTTCCAGGTAAGTCTCCCATCAGAGCCTAATTGATTTGCAACTGAGTGTATTCCGTTTATAAAGAAGGTTATTTTCTCAACTAGTATTCATTCTTCCTGTCAGACTTCTCTGGAAGGATGGATTCTCAGTCGGCTCCAAACATTTTCAAACTGACTGAGAAGCAAGTATCCCGATTATCTATTTGTAGTTCCTCATTAGATAACGCAACGTGGAATCTAATAACATGCTCACACTTGTCGATGGTCTTAACTAACTCATGGTTGATTATCGGTTTGTTTTAAGTTCGTATGAACTTGAAGTGGCTCAACAACATCCATGTTTTTCCTGGATTTCTGGGAGAAATAGGGACAAGATGGTCTCAGCAGATCATTGAGTTCGGGTCCTAAACGTTTTTGGTTTTTGGTATCCGGTCCAAATAAGTAGTGAGATAATTTCGTTCTCAGGATCATACGGAAAGCGATGTGCTGGAGAGCTGGGTTAGTCATTTTGCCATAAGGGAATTCAAATCACTTCATACAGGCTTTTTGGTTGCTCGTCTATTCGAGAGTACATACAGGCTGATGTAGGGATTAGAGCACATAGCTCGAGTGAAGAAGACCTAGGGTTTTAATATTTTGCTCCTATCTTGAATAAGTATTTCAAAACGGAAGGAAGCGCGTAGTTGCTATCATTTCGGCTTTCCAGCGCATCCGGAAAACCAACGGCTTTACTGAAAGAGGGGTGTGACGTTTTTCGTTCGCTGAATAACGCAGCCTCGCGGACCAGAATTAATGTGATGCAGAAGTGACGGCCTAAAAAAGTACACCAGATGATGATAACTACTTAATGAGAGCGGAAAAAACCTCTGTGAAGACGTCTGGTTTGACAAGAAAAGTATTTTATCGTGAATTCCCCTACTGGTTGAGCAGGGCAGGAGCAAGTAGATAGTTTGAATAGTTGGGGAACGCTTCATCATTCCTCAAGAATATGCATTCGAACACGAACGTACATGGGGTGGAGCGCATTGTAGCGAACGAATCTCAGACACTTATTGATTGTTTCGCACCGGCTAGCTATGGTTCTGCCGGTTCTCCTTCGTATTTGGTTGACGCATATTTTCTCTCCTTTCTGAGGCTGCGAGTAATTTACACTACATATGATCTCTGGCGCATCAGACGTATTAGAATCATCTGCATTTTGAGCATCTTTCGAAGACGCTTAGAGATAAGAAGCCGAAGTATGCATAAGCCTGCTACAAATCATACAGTTTGATCACCCAAAGGAATGTAAGAACACTAGTTACCACCAATGTGAGGCTTCTTTGATAGCACACTGATCGCCTACCGGGGGTTGGTCTGTCAAGATCAGAGGCAGAATTCCCCGAAATTCCCTGAGTGAATTAGTCACACTCTTCTCATCACGAAAGGAAGATGGCTGTGGCAATCTGGCACGCAGATTCGGTGCGTACTGTACTAAAATAAAGAATTTTTATGGCTTCGTTTTAGGGATGGAGTTTATAACGTGATTATTTCGTAGTCCATACCATCACACTTTTCGCTAACAGAGCTCTGAATTGGTATGCTATGACAACAAGAAGACGTGAGTGAAGCCCACACCTGGGCTCTTCAGACATTAGTACTCAATATACATCATTTGAAACTTAGCATTGCGAGCAATGTTATATTATAACAAAAGGGTCTTTCAAAAAGTCTCAAGCAACCTACCAGCGGTTACCATTACGCACGTTCAGCAGCTGTTTGCCAGATGGCGTTGCCTTTGGTGCTTACTACATTCACGTTCGTGCAGAAAACTCCTCATGTCTTCAGAGGACGAAACATTACTCCAGATAAACTATCGAAAACATGTCAGTCTGTCCCACGCGCCACGCTTCCAAGTTAGTTGTAAGTTTTTCATCACATTAAAAACTACACTGTAAGCTCCCCCTAGAACGATGACCGATTTCGCCCTTCTTGGAACTTATCAGGTACATGCAGTCCCCGAGGTTCCGTCAGCGTTTGGCTCTAATGGAACAGAAATTGTACGCAACTGGTGAGACACACTGGCCTGTCAACTAACTTACATTAACGGAAGACTCAAAAGAATCCAATCTGATACTACGCTTGAAGGGAACTCTTGGAATGCGCCCTCTGATGAGCCGCAATAGGAGTAAAATCGTTAGCAGAAGAGTTGTCAGCAACCTTACGAGCAGTGCGTTCCGTCTAGAGGACACACCGGGAGATCTCAAATATCGTCCCTAATGAAACATGATATGATTCTTGTGCAGCACATTCAGTTGAAGTATATGGTAAAAGGGAGTTTCAATCGGTACTCATGTGGTATCTAGCTAACACCAGCTTAATCTTGAAACGAAAGTAGTTCACCGTTTGTTTGCAGATTGTTGTGCCTTTTGTAGGATGTGTAAACACAGCGCTCTTTTGAACTGTTGTCCTGTGCTGGTGCAACTATTCTAGCTGATACGAACCGGGAAACTGGATGCGCTGGACTCGAGCTTCACTCTTCGGAGAGCTTTAGCAAGGCAGGTCTTTAATCGTACCAGGATCCAGTATCTAAAATTAGAAGTGGGCGCGGTGACACTGAACAGTCTCTTACGACTTTTAAGTCAGGTTGCTTGAAACCTGCTACACGAATTTTGACTAGGTGTGGTTGGGTGATTCCACATTACGACAGATTCAGGCCGTTTAATCCAGAGTTTCTCTCCAACCAACCGAACACTAACAACAAGAATAACATTTGAGCCCTTCTTGTGTTCTGTGTGAGAAATGTGACCATAAATATGCAAACAGCTTGGTCTTTTCATGACTTAAACCATTAGCTGCCTTTGCTATCACGTGAACTGTGTGTGTTACAGCGTTAAGAGGCCGTGCAGGTCCCTGGCGTGGCTGCCATTACACCACTAAATCGAAATATAAAGCTAAGTGTTGCACAAAAACTGTCTCCATGCCAGACCGGTTGTCAGTGCGTATGCATTGTATGTTGCGCAGTGTGCACCAATCATATATACAGATGCAGTTGAATTGACAGTCACAATCACAATGGGTGAACGAATCCGGTCAAACTCTGTTACGAATCCGTACCCAGTCGGACAACAGCAGGACTGTTCTGGCACAGTAAAACACAGTGGAACACAACTAGCCATATGCTTTTGAGCAGCTATCGAGAGGTAAGTGGAACGATCAAGTTCTAACTAGTAGACTAGATAGTCTCGTCTGAACTTGCAATTTTCGTCTATGAGTCTTTATAGAGCATGGCATATCTCTAGATCAAGAATATGTGTATCCACGCTTCAAGAAAGGCTGTGATTTAGATAAGATTAATGGCTCTTCCACGCCTAGAGGATGAGCTCCCAACATAGGGTGTTGAAGAAGGCGTCGTCATGCATTTCCGAAGTAGCTGTATCATTCCAGATGCAGGTCAAATATGGACGAGCTTGATACACGCGGTCTGTTTATCGTGTTGTCTTCTGCTTTCGCTAAAACAGCATACAAGCTGCTTACTTGTCCAAAGACTTCTCAGTGTCTCTCACTTAGCATGAAGCCGTGTACCGAGTGTGATTCAAGCCAGAGTGGCAATAACTCATTCTTCATCATCCACAAATCTGTTTCGGAAACTTCCCAGGGCTTGACTCACTGTGAGGAAGAATATGGGGTCTGGACGATAAGTTTTCCGCAGTTTGAATTGTGAGTGAAAGGACGATTTATATATATATATATATA